ATCTGATGAAAATATATTAGAATTGTTCAAAAAGGAGGAGGGAGGAAGAAGGAAGAGAGAGAGAAACTGAACTTATTACAGTTCGGTTACCTAGCAGGAATATTTTGACTAGTGTCTTTTTTCGTGTGTGTGTGTGTGTATGTGTGTGTGTGTGTGTGTGTGTGTGTATGTGTGTGTGTTCATTTTTTAACAAATTATTATTAGGAATCCATGGTTTGCTGGCACTGAGAATTATAGGAACATCTGTGGGCCTCTGCCCTCATGTAATATTTAGTATTTGTTGACATAGAGTTTTCTATTTTATTTTTTTCTAATTATATCTTAGAATTTTTTTTGAAATTTTTATTGAATTTTTGTGTATTTCATACAGAAATCTTTATTTATTTTTATTTTATGTGTATGCATGTATTGCCTGCATGTAGGTAAGTGCACCTGTGTCATGCAATGTCGGCGGAAGACAGAAGAGGCTGTCAGATCCCCTGGGACTGGAGTTACGGACAATTGTGAGCTGCCATGTGGGTGCTGGGATTTGAACCGGGGTCGTCTGCAAGAACAACCAGTGTTCTTAACCGTTGAGCTATCTCTCCACCCCCCCATACAGAAATCTTAATCATCTTTATACCCCCTTCCCCATTGGTCCCCTCCCAGACCTCCCCCACTGGAATTCATACATTCTGTCATTTGTGTTAAGGCCTATCATATCAAGTTAGTACAAGTTCATCCACTGAGGTCTAGTCAGCCTATCTAGAGTCTCTCCCTTTAAGAATATCAACTCTTCCTCACCCAGCAGTAATCAGCTGCCAATAATTCTTCGACTAAGACTGGGGTCTGCTGTTCATTTCCATGGTTCTCTGCTGGGGTTTTGTCTGCTTGAGTTTGCATGGGCCATGTGCATGCTGACACTATTGCTGTAGCAATGTGAGCAGGGTCCCAGGAACCTGTAGGACTCTATTTCCATATGATCATGCACCTCCTCCCTGGGTCTTAAAATCTTTCCAAAAGCCCCCTCTTCTGCAAAGGTCCCTGAGCCCTGGGTGGGTGTATTTTAATATAGAAGTCCTGTCCAAGGACCCATACTCTGTAGACTCTTATTCTCTACATTTTGGCCATCTGTGACCTTTTGTGTTCCTGGTCCTCTGGTGCATGTGGGAGTTTCATTGATGAAAACTGAAAGATGCATTAGTGTTCTCTTCATCCCTTGTTCTATGTTCCATGAGCCTTAGGTCTAGAGGTTGCATTGTAGATGTGCCACTTAGGCTTGGGAAATTCGTAGACAATCTCTGTGTCTGACCATTTGTGGAACTCTGTAATAATCTCTGTTGAAAAAGAACCTTCTTTGATGGGTGGTGCCTGGGATACTTGTCTGTAAATATAAGGATCCATAT